GAAATACAGAATGTGCTCAAGAGTAGGGGTTTACGCAGTGTTTTTAACCTTTATCAGAACTGAGGGGTAACTGTAATCACAGCTGTGGAACTTCAACGGAAAAGATTCAAGGCAATGATCTATGTTCTGAAAACTAAACACTTAAAATCACTCAGCAAATCACCGAAGAGTGCTTTTTCCATTATCTGGTAGTATTTTTGCTTGTTGTTCACCTCATGCTGGCTTAAAAATTAAAGTGTGTGTTTCTCTGGCAAAAACAAAGAATATTTTGCACTATTAGCGTGTTTTCTTTAGAATTGGGCAACAAACTTAAACTTTGTGCTACTAAATTGTTGGCAAGTTTGTGATTTAAAACCCTAGAATAGAATAGTACTGACCTATTGGGGTGGTCACTGAGGTGGTGGTGGCAGCTCTTGCAGTCAGCTGTGAAATAGCTCAGGACAAGCAATGGAGGAAAATAATGAAATGTTACTGTTGCAGCTAAGATACTAGGGGAAAAGTAGAGCGATGCTACCTGGGGGGGGCTGTACTCTTCAACATCAGGGGGTTTCACCTTTTCCTAGTTGATAATTGTGGTTTGGAGTGAATAATATGCAAAATGAAAATGACGTTTCCTAATTTATTTAGAAGACTGCAGGTGATGTGAGTTCATATTGTGATTCCAAGTTTCTGTTTTAATCTGGGGGATGATACTTAAAACAGCCTGTGACTTAATATTCAGGTAACCATCTTTATTGGACTGTAAATACAGGCCTACTTGTTCTGCTTTTTCCAGTTTGTGCAGCGGAAGGGTAGCGAGCGCTCAAAACTTTCATGATGCTGAAACAGGAGAAAGGAATAGTGCTGCTTTTGGTCCTCCGCTTTGCTCTTTTCATCTGTACTCTTGAGGCAGTTGTCATTCTCCAGGAGTCCCAGACAGTCATAGTTTTGAGGTCATAAATTGCAATAAATTCCCCTTCACTTGTCTAATAAAAATGAGAACTTTTCACTGGAGTTAGAAAAACTGTGACTTAGGGTTCAAGGATTTCCGACCTCACTACACTTACCTGTTACAGCAAGTTTTAATGCAGGTGTGTACATACATGTGTGTCTATTCAAGCCCTGCATTGCATTAAGGTCTGTCAGAGCTTTCTCGTAATGGATGTGCGTTGGCTGTATTTTCTCTGCTTAGCAATAGTTCCAGCAAACAAATCCTAAGGGACTGCAGCTGGCCTGTACTCTGGGTAGATTAGGAGAGTTAGAAATCCTAAGGTGTCATTTCTGAATACTTGCATGTCTCTTGTCCTGTTACTTTTTCCTTCAGCTGTACACCTGAGGAGTATATGTTGCGAAAAGGCTAATGCAAGAGCATTTTGGGAAGGAACAAGAACGTGCTTTTTTCAGTTTTTCAAAAATTGTTCTACTGTTTCATGCTGTTCTGGTTTTGGGGTTGTTTTATTTATTTTTTTGGAACAGTAGACTGCTGGCATTACCACATACGGGCTCTGTGTAAATGTATGCTTTATAAAAAATACTTCAGCTGGAGGAAAGTAAGCAGGAAGGAAGATTTTGTGCATCCTCTATATTCTCTGTACAAAAAAATCAACTGAAAAACCATGTGGTGTATGAATAGCAGCAATCAGCAGAGCGCGCTTCAAGTATGCGTGGAATTGCGAATCGGCTTCGGGCTCAGCCCTTGTCTTCGTCACGGGTAATCTTGCCACAGCAAGAGCAGAGCATCACCGTCTTGTGTGGCGCCCTGCGGTGGCGGCTGGCTGCTGCAGGTAGCAAATGTCAGCGCTTCTGCAGGTGGCAAGCGTGAAACGTACCCGAGTCTGAAGGCTTGAATAAACTCTGTTAAAGCCATCGGGATTCTTCGAGAGGCTTGGACTACTTGTAAAAGGATGTGATATTGCTATGTTATTCGTATGGGGGTGGGGGGGGTTGCTGTTGGGTTAGATATAAGTGCAGAATGAGATGCATAAAACTGTCAAGTGGAGAGCTCAGCTCTCCACAGCATAAGACAATAAAAATGCCATCATGACTTAATTATAAAAATTTTATTGATTAAATACATTCTTAATTTACAGATGTACCATAACAAACTTAACTGGGCTTAACAAAGATTTATTTAGGACACTGTTAGCTGTACACAGAACAAAGATGTCTTCCTGAAGATATTTCCAGAGGGTGGGTCAAACAGAAAATGTTTTGATAAATGAGGTTTTTATTATCATACTAATGTATGGGGGCTCTAGCTGAATTTCAAGGTTACAGCTGAAATTTGCTACTATATTGCAGTTAGGATTGCTCCACCTCATTCTCAGTTTCTTTGCAGATTATGTACTGTCCACCTTAGGAATTTTATGTTGTGATCTGTATGCAGTTTCATGGTGATATTAGGCACCAAGTCTTATGAAAATCCCTTCCTGTAAAAGCCAAGCATGTAACTTGTTTCACTTTTAATAAATATGCTTTGTTTTAGCTGTCTGCAGTAATGCAAGCAGCCTTTAGATGGCACTCCTTGCTCTGAATATAAGGCTTTGCTGCTCTTCCTGCCCTGTGTAATAGGGAGGAGGTGATAAAAACAAAGCAGAGTGGTCTTACCTACTGACAGGCACTGACTTCAAACATTCAGCGGAAGTTACAAAAACAACTGGTCAATACACAGTTATAAAAATGGGGAAGAGGAAACTGAGGGGAAAAAAATATAAAAAAATCAGTTCTACTTTTGAGACTTGTATCAAAATCTTAGAAAACTGCCAGACAAACAGTAAGTAAACATCACACACATAAGCCTCGTCCACCGGCACAATGATGCGGTGTGTCTGCAGAGGACCTGGGTATTCTGCTCGTTGGTGTGGGCTTTGCTTGGTCCTGCTGTTCTCCCCCTGCTGTGCGCACTGCAGGTTCAGGAGTTGCATTGGCACAGGACACGGTGGAAAAAGCCTGTTTTAATAGGGTGATCCACTGGAAGTTTATGGTTGAAAAGTTTGGGCTTGCAGGATTTGGAAATCTTATCTATGTATTTGTTTCCTTGGATTCCTCTAGAAGGAAATGGCTGTTTTACTGGAATAAACAAGAACCTTTGGCATCTCCTGGCAGGAGAGTGGGAAGGGTTGTCCTCGGAGGTGGACTTACATTAAAGTTTGATTCCACAGGAGTTACGGATATGCTTGTTGAGGATGGTAAAACTGAATCATACCTGTATAAACTGTTGTGTTTCCACCTTTCTAGAATAGCATATGATTTATAATTGTTTTTATAATGTTAATCCCCTTAATGAAAGTAGGAATCCAGTTCTTGACTCATTAAAACTGCGTGTGATCTTCATCCCCCACTTGTGTGAATGGTATTGGTGCAGTTTAAATACACAACGCTTCACGTTCGTGAAGCCTCTAGAGAAAACATAAAGCCTGTGTCTTTATTTGCAAGTATTGTGGCATAACAGTGACTCTGCAGAGTGAAACAGTGCCCAGGGCCTTGTGCCCGTGCTGCGAGTACCTCAGGCTTGCTTCAGGCAAGCTCCAGTCTGTTCCTGAGGCTGGATGCCTGTTCCCTGCTGCGGGGGAGTGCTTCAGCTCACTTTTGGCTGTAAGCTTGCTTCTGCCTGCTGTGATGGTAACCAAAGTGCAGTGCACGGGGAGGGGAGGGCTGCCCTCACCAGCTTGCTTAGACACAAATTTAGATGCACCCTGATCTTTTGTAGCAGTAGGTATTTGTAGCCGTAATACTTGGACCTCGTATCAATAAAGTTGTAAGTAGACACATGACTGAGTCAAAACTATCTCAAGATCAATCATGATGATCATAGTTTCCAGTCTCCATCTGCCACTCAACTGTTGGCCCTTTTGCAACCTGAACTTCCAAACGCACAAAGAAAAATCTTGGAAGGATATTTTGATACCTAGTGACCTGCATCTCTCTGAAGTAAAATAACTCATGCTAACAGCTTACTGGTTCCCTTTTGTTATGTAGTACAAAAGTGACGGAATACTGTCAGCAGTGAAAGACCCAACTGCAGCATAGTTTTTTCTGTTCCAGTCTGATGAAGTTAGCAGTTAATCGAGATGCATTTAACTATTTTTTCAGAAGCCAAATGTTACAAAAAGAAACTTACTACCAGAAGTTCCTATAATGTGAAGCTACCTCAGTCATGTCCGTCTTAGTTTGTTGTTTGGGTCACACTGCTACTTTTTGCTAAATGCTTTTGTTAGAGCTTCTTGAAGTAACCTCTTGCCTGGCGTGTTTTCCTTAAGGCCTCAGCAGACCATTTATAATGATGCTCAGTATAGTTGGTATGTGGTAACAAACTGAAAGCTAATCCCATGTCTGCTGAAAGCTAAAACCAAGGCTGTAAACATCCTTCATGTTAAGGATAGGAACAGTGTTACTGAAGTATGTTCCAGTGCTTGAGCGACAAATGAAATGCAGACTGAGTGAAGACTGGCTTTCCACTTACATGAAGGGGGTGGAGGGGCAAATAGTTGGAATAGTGCAGCTACTGCATGGAGGGGAACTGAGAAAGCTCAGTAAACGCTGTTGGTCACAACTAACTTCAGCTGGGAAAGAAGGGTATGATGGTGCTCAAAGAACAGTGGAAAAATCTAAACCTATATCTGAAAGGGTTTGGGGGGAAGGGAGGAGGGTCTAAGGTGATTCACACCACTTTGAATATTATTCATTAAGAGGCAAAATACTGAAGTTTTACTTTTGTGATCTTCCTGTATGAGCAGCTTTGGGCTAAGAATAGAAGAATACTACACAAGGATTTGCTTCTGAGTTTTCCCTCTTACCAGTATTAGATTTGATATTTTTCTACTATGAAATATCAGTTATCTTCCTTATCCTAAGTCATAACACAAGTGGATTCTACTGCTAATGTGGAAGTCGAGCAGTAATGAAACCTGAATATCAGACTTGATCTACATATTGAGTGCTGTAATAATATCTTAAAAACAATTTTTTAAATTTGGATTTTAAAAAGTTTTTAAAGAAGCCCAAAGAAGCTTACTTTATGTAGACTTTGTGCATGATAAATGTAATACCAGATAGTGAACATACTAGAATGCTATTTAAGTTAAAATGGTGTTGCACCACAGTATTTCCCTAGTTGGAAACAGCTAAAAATCCTGCTTGTATTTGCTCTCAGAGCATTCATGAAGCATGACTACATACACTGCCACAAAAGACTAAAATTTTCTTATTTGACTTCAAGACGCTAGTATGACTGTCTAGAAAAAGTAGTGCAAAACATTGATAGTCAAAACACATTGATGTCTTTGCTGTGCCTTTAGGATAGAAAATATTCCCTCCCGCATGCAGGGAGTACAAAGAGAAGCAACACTTCATGGTGTTTTTAAAACCTGAACAAAGTTCTTGGGAAATATCCCAGACTTTCCTTGTATCTCTCCACTCATCCAGTCGTCGTCTACAGATTCCAGCTCTGTTATTGTATCGCCTGCCTGTAAGAGAAGGAGTAACATGAGCCAGTACAGCTTACCGTGCAATGTTAATGCATGCATAGCTGATCTCATTCAGAAGCAATTAATATCAATCAAATAGAAGAGAAGTAGGATCTGGCCAGTCCCTTCTGTTGGTTACACCTCGCCAAGATTGTTTGCCAAAACCAGCTGAAGCTTCTCTTAAGGTAAATACTTGTCTATGCTGAAAAATTGCTGCCTTCCAGAAGGAAAAGAGAGCACTGCTGGATATTCTTGTGTTGCTTAAGCTCTCTGGGTGGGTGGGTAGGTAGGTAGGTTGGAGAGCCAGCTCACAGGCCCCCTGCCTTACTTGTTATTTGTGTTTCCCTGCTCTGTTATCAGGGTTTCTTTTCTTCAAATGCCTCTCTCTCTCTTTTTTTTTTTTTTTTAAAAAAAAGAATTTATTCCCAATATTTTCCAGTGCTTGGAAACTTTCCTCTTTGCTTTAGAAACTTCCCTTTCCCAAAAAGGAAGGCAATCATCTAAGTAGCTCAGTGTGGCCATTTAAAATAAACTGCAGCTCCTGTATTTGATCCTTGTTCCTGTTTTCATTGTCCCATGCCACATCCTTCAATTGAAGTACTGTCACGGCCCTGGCCCTTCTTCTAGTACTTCTGTTCCCCTTTTCTGCTTTAAAGAATCACCTATCCTTTCAGCATTGCAAGCTGCTAATGCTGAAACTAATTATTTTGCTAGCTTTAGAAAGAGAAAATAGTGTGGTCCAGCTGATAAACACAATTTAGGGCCTGCTGTGAAAGTCTGCTGTTTCTCAGAAACTTGCTTTTGAGGACACAGTTACCTAAGTCATTACTTTGAATCTACAAGGGCACACTGTTTCTTACTCATGCTTCTTAATATTATCTGGGCATCCAGCAAGTATTTAATTTCTCCCCTTACTCCCATGGCAACTATGTATTGTGCTGCCAAACTTTTATATTTTTGCTGTACTAGGTGTCCCTTAGAGGCAACGCTGCTGTAGCACTGGCACCCTTACTATTATCCTCCTTGTTGCTGTCTTTCTAGTTAAAAAAGAGGCTCCCTTGACCATATCAACTGATCAAGAACTGAATGTACTGTAAAATGAAGTTTGTTTTGTCATGTTTACTGGATCAGAGAAGTCAGAGCAATTCTGCAATTCCTGACCTCTTTTCAATGTCTTCAGTGAAGATTTTGCCAATATGAAACAGAAGTGGTAAGGGCAAAAATTTTTTTAGAGGCCATTTATCAAATGTGTCAACATCTATGCCTATTCTAGGTGCTTTGTTCTTTCCTGTTCAAAGCCTATTTTCACTGTGGATAAATCCTATTTTTTAGCATTCTTTAGGAGCATAAGACCTTTTGGAAAATTGGGCTAAGAAGAGAGGTACTTACTTTGAAAGAAAGCTCATCTTCATTTTCTCCATGAAAGTCATAAAGAGCTTTGGCTTTTCCTTTCTTCCCTCCTAGAGACTGGGACATCTCTACTCTGGCTGCAGAATGTGGACAAGACAAGTTATTTGGATTGAAATAAATCTCTGTTTCTGGAAAAGTTTCCTGTCATTCTCATGTTTTCTCCCCACTAGTGTGCTACAGGGTGTCCAGATGTTATTGCTACTGCTACTTAGCAAATTCACTGTCCTAATGGAATACAAATCTCTACTGACACCAGTTCATTTTACAGTACTAACACATTCACATGGTTCTGCTTCTAAGAGGATTAAATTTAAAGTTCACTTACTTGAACTTTCCAACAGCAGTATCTAATAAAAGCTGTCTTTTCCTCTTTGTACTTGGGTATGTGCTATTTGCCAGTTAGGTGGAATTTATTTCCTGCCAACTTTCACTCATGGCTTTACTTGCAAAAAACTATGGGGGAAAAAAAATGTGATTTTTCTGTCTCCTCTGTGAAGCTTTTGACTGCATTCATTTGGGGACCAAACAGAAGCTCAAGGAGAGCAAGCAGCATTCATTCCTTGCTTCACCAAGGGCATTACACTAGTTCTGTGCCAAGATGCAGCAGTTGTAGTTATTTACAGCTGTACCAGCTCTTCGGCTGTGCTGCAGTGTTGCCTCTTCAGCTGAGGGAGAGCCTGGCTCCCCCTGTCTTTTGTACCCCTGAATTCCTGCTAAAGGCAGGTCAATGGTCCTGTTCTGCCTGTACCCAAACCACACTGTAAACTAACCCTCCCAGATTACTTACTGACTAGAGCATTATATTGCCATTATTAGAGAGGGTGGTTCAGCAGTTAGTTTAGCTTCAGGATATTAAGGAGTGTGGTGGTGTGTGGCTTGTTAATGCAAGGCAATAGTTGGGTTCTCCCAGAACTCTCTCATGACAGTCACAACCCAAGGAATAATGAATTGCCATCTAGTAGGAGCACTGTACCTGAGCAGGTCTGAACAAAAACTGCTGGGAAAATCCCTTCCTTTTCATTCAGTCTTCCTCTATACCACTCTGAATCTACTTGTGCCAGTATTTGGATGTAGTCTCCCTTTTTAAAGGATAAATCGTCTTTGGTTTCTGCTGTAAAATCATGAAGTGCTTCGCACCACTCTACTGAGCGTCTGTTGTTCTATTCAAGTGAACAGAAGAAATGCATTAATTTTAGAAGCGTTAATGGATCCCATAAGCTGATGGATACTGGTGAAAGCAGCTGTACAGAACACGGGTGTCCTGACTTTCTCTCATACAATAGTGTCACTGCAGATGTAGACTAGAATGGCATTTCAACAATTACCACAGAATTTCATCTAGGCTCAGACGCATTCCTTTTTATCATTGGTGGCAGGGGACAGGATTAATAAATTCAAAATTAGACCACTGCAGTAATACTTAAAATAGAGCTAACAAGAATTTGCTTAAGCAGAAAGGGTAAAGATTTACTTATGTTAATTTGCCAGAAGCTATGAATTCAATCAGTTTAGGCCAACTGTCAGAATTCAAGATGTGACCATGCAGCATTGTGTGCTGTGGGAGTTGTGTTACATTCAGGTTTAAAGCTGTGCAGCTAATTTGACATTATAATAGAAAGTCTATGTAAATCTATGAAACCGCTGTGTAAATTCTGTCCCTCACCTATAAAATTTTACTACCTGAGGAACGGAAGAAGAAACCTCCACCTTGTTCTTCAGTGCTGCTCCTGTACCTACAGAAGTAAAGGACAACTTAGAATAGCAGCAATGACTATTCAAAACATTACTAATAGTAGAGATTTTAGATATTCAAAGTGATTATTAAGAATAACTTTGTAAGAAGTCCTACTATTCCTTTTAATTTTTCTTATCTGTCTTTCTTCCCTTTCTATCTTCTTCCCACATTCATTGTCCTTTTGGACTTTTCTCCTATATGCTGCCTGTATACATGCAGTACAAAACCATGTTCTTGAAGATTTTTGCAAACATATTCATACCTGTTCCAGGCAGATCTTCAATTACTTCCACGAAGTTCAAGGGGAAAATTCCACATGTGCCTCTGAGCTCTCCTTTGGCCCACTCTTCATTTACATATTCTTTAAGGATAATAGTTTCACCTTCTGAAAAACTGAGCTCGTCTTTCTGATCTCCAATATATTCAAATCGTGCTACACATCTTGGGCCTCTGCACAAACAAGAGAGACATTTACTTTGCTTATTTAGTATTACTGTCCACTTAATAATAAGGCAGCATTGTGCAAAATATGGATTGGTATCTTTAATTAAAATGATGAAAGAATGCACTGAAGATAGAACAGGTGGAAAATTGGGGTCTAGCCCTGGTTCTTATTTCTGCTTTCTGAGGAGGATGAGTGTGGAGTCTGGAGGAGCTGGATGCAACTTCTGCATCCCAGTTCCTGGCTGTTTTGGTTTTTTGGTGGGTTTTTTTTTTTTTTTTTAGTTTTGCATAAGACCCCATTTCTTTTCCAAACAATGAAAGTATCACTTTGTTTCTGGGCTACCTGTCCCATTTTATATTTCTGCCTGTATCCAAGTAAGTGTCCTGATATGCTTTTGTTAAGAGTTTGATGTTTTTTTGAGCTAGCATCCAATTTAGATGCAGTCAAGCATGGGGGGGGGTGGGGTGGGTGTCGTATATTTGTCCCAAATCCCAAATACATGGAGGTTTCATAGGGGGAAGCTAGTTTCCATCTACTTTGACAAGCTTTATTCTGTAAAAAAATCTATCCCAGGCATGAGGAAATAAATTATCTATCAAAGAAAGAAACATCAATGCATCTGATAAATTTTACATAATTTGGTATAATACTGAAAAAACGATTTTTTTTTCTCACTTAAATAGATTTAATAATTCAATGAACTATAAAAATAAATTTAATAAATTACTCTAGGAAGATTTTTGATTTATCAGAAATACTGTGGTGGAAAAAAGACATAATAGGCTTTAATTCTTTCTATAGCATCATAGCATACAACCAGTGTAAGAAGCTTGATTCCCACCCCTGTCCCCCACTCATATCTTTGCAAAAGCTTCAGGACAGAGCTAGCACTTTCTGGTTCGTTCCTAGTTGCAGAAGCAGCTTTTAAAAACAAAGTTTCGGTTAAAACAAGCCAAGCTCTATCTGAAGAACAAACTGAACGATCCCATTGATACTAGTTCCTGCTGCTGTCTGAGCTTGCTTTAATTGCTGCAATGAATTATTATGAAATCCAGTCATCATTGAGAAAAAATAGCAGGAAAAGTCATTCCTTGCCCAGAAATCTTAGTACAAGTTGTTTGCAAATCAGAAATGAAAGTGCTTCAAGTACATTTGATAATTTGATCTGGGGAACTTTAGATTCACCTCTGTAGTCCTACACATTAAGTTTAGATAGATTTCTCTACTTAAAGTACAGCTATATTCTGTCCCATTTTATCTTGTTCTTTCAAACGAGTAGGAGCCCTACCATGTTACATCTTAGGAGGATACTAGAAGAAAGTAACAAGGCCAGGAGCAAAGAGAGGAGAGTGCAATGCTGCTGAAGTCAGATTGGTTTACAGTTTCTGTAACTAATTTTCATGAAAAATTATTGGAAATGCTCTTCTAATACAGCTCATAAGAGGAAGGAAAGTGAGTGAAGGGGACTATATCTATGTAAAAATTTATTATAAAGTGATCTACCAATTTTTTGAAGCCATGAAGTGAGTTTTTAGGCTTTTTTTACCTGAATATGACTCTTATTAAAACATCATAAACTTTCCATTTTGAGGGCTTAATTTTTAAAATATATTTTGGTGAAGAAACTGTTAACCATATTAACCTCAGCACAGATAACACCTGCTTCAAAGTTATCTTCCTTTTTACTTCCTAGTAAATCAACATGAGAAAGAAAATAAGATTTATCCGACTCACTTAACACATTGTGATGAACAGGGTATTTTTTTCCTGTTGCCTTCTTCTGGAACATCAATCTAATAAGACAACAAAATAAGTACAATCTTCCAGTTCAAGCTCATGGCAACATAACTACAATAAACTTGGAACTGGTTAAAATAATCTGGTTTTCAGCTAAGCATCAGCTCCAGTTATGACCTCCATGTGATGCTCTGTAGTCGCTGGCATGCTATGATATATGATCATATTAATGTAGATTTCAGTTTTGTATGCCTGATTTCTCATTTTTCAATCTCATGCAAACAAGGAACACTATTTAATGTTTTCTGTTATGAAGCTGGTTTACTGTTTCTATTTGTGGCATGATTGATTGACAGAATATGGGACTGGATGCTACTACATGCTGTTGCATTTAGCTCCCAACTTTCAATTGGTAATTGCTCTCTATTATTTACTAGCACAATGTATCACAACAGACAAAATTATTATTTACACGTGTCCTTTCTGGGCTTTGGTAGCCAGCTGTCCTCCAAACAAAAACACATCTCACAAATCTCACTGGAATTTGAGAAATATAATTTAGAAAATCAATACATGGATGTATCAAACAGACAGTATTCAAGTCTTTCGCGTAAGAGGACTTCAGTTGTATTTTTGGTGTGACACAAAGGATGATCTGTGAGATGTAGAAGACTACAAGGCTAGAGACCCTGGCAAGGACCTTTGGGTTACAGCTCACTATTGCATGAGCCAGTTCCTATAAAAATCAATAAGAATGTTTCATTAGCTTATGTGAAGGACCGGAGGAAATCATGCTGCCTTTTAGGACAAATAATACTTGCAGTGCTCTTGCTAGAGGAGCTGGTATCTGTGGTGCTCTGAAGGTTCTATGGGAAGTAATAACCATGTATTATTGTTAGGTGTCCAGACCTAAGCTACTACCGAGCTGAATATTGTGAAACACACTATAGCGTATTGTATAGAGATCTTGTATCGAGATGAAATCTGACCTGAATGAACAGGAGAATTCACTCAGTAAATTAGCCTCATGTACTGCACTCTTCTTCCTTTTTTTTTTTTTTTTTAATTTTGCTGAAACAAAAGATTTTTTCACTCAAAGGCTAACCACCTTTTACAACCTAAATAGAAATCTGAAACACATCTTTCCTAGCTTTTATGAAGTTGTATCTGTCTGTACTAATGCTGAATTTGACCCCAAATACTCATTCCGCTGCTTTAACATAAAATCTTTTCTCTATTAGCCATCAGTAGTAACAAGAGCTTTTCAATTAAATTGTTGGTCTGTGTAGAAGCAGCTAATCAATTTAGCTAATGAATCTTTCTCGTGAAAGCAAATCAAGCATGGTTCCATTATTACTAACCCCGAGTTTATTTTTTATTCTTCAGTACTTCTCAGATCTTAACATTTTTCTCCAATAACACCATTACAAGCTAAACAGACACCCTATGCTCTCTGATGGTTACCAAATACAATACAATACATTGTTCACGTAGCAGCAGTGCTCATCTCTGCCAGCTGCCCCAGCTCGACACAGACACTTACTGTCTTTAATGCCCAGCCATACACCTTCACTGCATCCTGGTGTCAGTTTAGCATTCCTTCGTGTCCATATGGCTGGTGTGGATAGTCCAACAGCCCTTTCTACTGTCACAAAACGGACTTCAATCTCAGACTCAGGCTTGCAATAGATTTGACCCAGCTTTTGACCCCGTAAACCATACCGTATGTCTTTTAATGATGAGGCACTCAATTAATTGCTATTGGGCTCCAAAACAGCACCTGTCTCTTGCCTGCCGTTTACTGTCAAGTGTCACATTCAGTAACAGGATTGCTTTAAGCTGCTCATTTGCAACAACACAATCTCCTTGCGCTGTGCCAGCACAACCACTTGTGCAGCCACTTAGTAAGCCACTTAGGCAAATTGATCCAGCTGGAAAAAAAATATTCTAGGAAGAAAGAAAACCATGTTTCATTGGGCCCAACTGCTGCCCTGACCTAGTTCACTACACGGCTATAAAAGTGGTGATTCCAGCAGAGTTCAAGGGACAAGAAAACAAGAGAAGCTGGGGGGAGGCACAAAAAACCCCCATCTTACGGAGTGTTGATTCTTACACACAGCTCTGAAAAATAATCTGCTCTGTAGACCCTGAGAAACTACCCAGGTTAACAAAGAGAATCTGGTAAGGGCCATGATTTCCTCACTTGGCTTCAGATTAACAGCAAAATAATCCCCATAACACAAGCTGGTTGTGCCAAATCGAGCATCTTTCTAATACCATACAAACAAGTTGATATGTCTTCTGTGCTGCCAGAGGGAAAAGAGATTATCTCAATACAGAATGGAGTTAAACACGCAGGAGCTGCAGTAAAATAGAACCAGAAAACAAATGCAATAGCATCTTATGGAGCAATGTATACAAAGTCTACATACAACTACTTTAACAAAGCTGGCAGGAAAGATCCCTGTGCGATTCCCACATTTTCCTCTGTACCACTCGGTATCGATTTTCTCCAAAAGACAAACTGTGTCTCCAGAATGAAGGTCCAAGTCATCAGCATGCTCTGTAAGACAGCATCATTTCAGTTAACAGTAGTTGACACACTCACTGATTTTCTCTTGAGTAAAACCTTCTTAATATAAATACCACAGACAAAAACAGGATGAGTTTTCAAAAAATCTTAATTATACTTGATAAACCAGTTAGCTTCAACTAAAAGATTGGCCCAACTATAGCTAAACCCATGGATTTGAACAACTCTACATGCGGACCTTGCGGGCTGAGCTTCCTCATAATTTTTAAGCTCTAAATCCTAAGAAAATTCCCATTTGAAAGTCTTAGAGTAAAACAAGCTTCCAGAATATTCACATTTACTTACCTGCAGGAAAATCATGCAGGACTACAGCATGAGGTGCACTTGTGTCAGAAACTTTTGCAGGGTGGTTTGAATCCTGACAACAACAAATAAATCCAAGTAGTTTAAAAATCATGGAAGATACTAACAGAGAGTCTGTGTTACATACTCTGAAAGTAATTTTCTGACTTTGGACACAATGTTGTTCTGGTATCAGAAAATCACCATTGGAGGCAATGGTTAGTGTTGGTCACAGAGCTATGGGTCTGAATTATGTATGCCTTTTGCCATTGTAAATTGGAATGCATTTCACCAAAATCTACTTTTGAGCCAGTAAAAGGGAGGGAAGGCATGTAACTTTTCCCAGTATAGACAAAGCCTCAGCTATCTCTGTGGGTCAGAAATGTGGAGCATTGATAGCAACTCTCATTGCAAGGGCTGTGGCCAAATTTTGCACTGCTGCTCGGTACTGTGTACTGCCAGTTACTCTTCCTTGTTCAGAGAGAACACCCCAGACCAACTCTCCGCAGCACACTCAGCAGGGGCAGCACATCTGCTGACTGCCAAGCATTTCAGAGGGGTGAGCAAGCCACTAGGCCTTTGCTTACAGGAAGATAACGGTGAGGGGAAATGACAATTTTGTTGTGGGATCTTTGTAAAGAGAAATTATATTCAAAATGCTGAGCCTTCTTCTCTATCCCACCCACTAGGAATTTTTAGACTGTACTGATGACAATCACTGTGTGTGAACTGCATTCAAAGTAATTCATTGCATACAGAAAACCCAACCAAAAAAGCCCAGCATGGACAAAGATAAAGCCAGAATATTATGAATTACAAAAGACAACAACAGATTTCATAGAAATCTATTTCAGCCATGTAGGTTTCTGATAATAATCAAAAAGACTGCTCATAGCTATAATTTATACTTGCTATTTAATATTAATAGTCATGCCCTAAAAACAGGTTAGGTTCTGTAGAAGCAGAGAGAGGAAAATACTTTGAAGTCCGTATGTCAAAGCCAATTCACTGATATATCATGTACAGCACTTCATAAAACTACTCGCTTATCTTTTACCCACTTTTCAGATACTCAGCCAAGGGAGTGATTATCTTCCTATGAGACAGAGAAACTTTACCAGTCTCCTCTCCCTTCTGGCACTCCAAGTAATTACTGTTGCTCTGCTCCATAAGCAGAATGTCCCTGTGCTATAAGGCAAATCACCATTATTGGGTTTTGTTTTGGTGGTTGTTTTGTTTTTATTAAAGAAACACAAGGATTTAATAAACCACTATTACATTTCTCAGTGTAACCTTTAAAGCCTAAAGCACTTCATACTTTAACACAACAGGAGTCTTGCTCATTAAATATGGAGCGGGTCCAGAAGAGGGCCACCAAAATGATCCGAGGGCTGGAGCACCTCTCCTATGAGGCCAGGCTGAGAGAGTTGGGATTGTTCAGCCTGGAGAAGAGAAGGCTGCAGGGAGACCTTATTGCGGCCTTCCAGTACTTAAAGGGGGCCTACAGGAAAGATGGGGACAATCTTTTTAAGAAGGCCTGTTGTGACAGGACAAGGAATAATGGATTTAAACTAAAGAAGAATAGATTTAGACTAGACATAAGAAAGAAATTTTTTACAATGAGGGTGGTGAAGCACTGGAACAGGTTGCCCAGAGAGGTGGTGGAGGCCCCATCCCTGGCAACATTCAAGGTCAGGTTGGACGGGGCTCTGAGCAACCTGATCCGATTAAAGCTGTCCCTGCTCACTGCAGGGGGGTTGGGCTGGATGATCTCTAAAGGTCCCTTCCTAACCCAAAGCATTCTATGATTCTAAATATTTATCAGCAGAAAAAAATGCCTTACCTTACAAGACAGTCCTCCAGTGTTCCTGGGAAGACAATCGTCCTTGGCAGCTCCATGAGGCACAGGTAGCTTGAATAGAAACAGAGGGAAATGGAAAAGTATATTTCACTTCTAAGCACCTGAAATTCCCACTGCAAGTGAAAATGGTCAGATGATGGAACTATTCAAACCACCTACTAGAGGTAACTAATTTAGGAGTCCAGTGGAAGAGGACAAGCTCCTTTGGAAGGTATTCAAAACAGATTGCTGGTGATATGAACTGCCACTTAGAGAAATCCAGTTGGTGTCCTGCGCTTTAAAAGTGTCTTAGCCACCTAACTGGTATCATACCATATGGTACATGATGTTCTGCAACACACTGACACAGAAATGTATTCATTTGCCACGGAGGGCACTGGAAAAACAACCTGGGAGGACAATTTCATTGACAGTAACACTTGAGGGCAGGGAATTACTAGTGATCTGCTACTGAAAAAAATCTTATCTACAAAACATGTCACATGTTTCTTATGTAAATAGGCGTGGCTACACCAGAGAGGAAGCAATATGCTTCCTTCATCTCAAAGCTCTTCCTGCTATCAACTTAGATATATCTTTCTCTCTTTTCCTTGCTCCTCTGCTCCACCAAGGATCTAAATGCAAGAGTGAAGATCAAAAAGAAGGCAACAGTAAGCTTCCACTTCGTGCTGCATGTTGATGTTGTCCATGCTACGGTTGTGTGGGTGCTTTTTTTTGACAACAGCACTGGTTCAAGCAGTCACCAGCTCTGATTACTGACCAGTTTCAAGTACCTGGGGAAAGAGCCTAGTACCTGGGGAAATAGTCTCTCCTTTTTATCTGTAATGTTGATCTATTTACATTTCATATTCCCTGCCAACACATGCAATACCAAAAAGAAACTTTATAATGAAAAGGGATGGCATCAATAGGATGAAAATGTAAGGTAAGTGATCTAACATTCCTCACTGTTTGCAGGCTTGATTAACTACTTTTTAAGTTCTAATGCTCCTGCAATTTTCTTACACATTTTGACATATACAGGGAAAACCAACATACAAACACAATTATTCAGCATCATTTTACATGCTGTAATAAAATTCAGAACTGGTGACTGTAAAAAGAACCCCCAAACCCCAAAAACTATGCATTAAAGATATATATATATATAAAAACATACATACATAAAAATACACACACATATATCTATACTTTGCATATATATATTGCTTTCTCCAGTATTACCTTACAGTACTTATTACTATTTATCTATTAGTATTTTCTAAGGAAGATTATGCTGATAGATGTGCTTTGAAAGCCACATCATAGTAACCTGCCTTATTACCTTTTTCACTACTATTTTAACCAGCGCTGTTTTATAAACAACAGTTTCAGATAGAATATCTCAACTCTCACCATGTATTTATTGTAGAGAGGATGACCTGGTTTAGGTCTAGGAGGTAATGCTGGATCTGGATTTTTAAAGACTTGACTTTTTGCTCTCTTGGGTCCCAGTCTGAACTTGCTGGGTTTTTTATCAGAAGCGATGTCAGAAGTAGATCGTGAAAGAGCATCCTTCTGGGAGGAGGTCTTGGCTGCAGAGAGTTTTGGTGGAGGTGGCCTTCCAGGAACACCTTTAGGTGGGGGAGGTCGAGCAGGTGTAATTTTTCCATCCACAGGCCTAAAAATTGGGCAAACGCATATATAATATGCATATTAATAAGCCTGCTACCTCATCCTCCACCACAGCCCTAGCTATAGAGTATGGAATAAGGAAACATGACTCATGATGACCTGGGCTGTAAAGTATGTAGTATCTGAAGCTCTCCGGGAATACATCAACTCTTCAGATACTGGGATTGGATGATCAAGTCCCTACGTATTTCCAAGTGTGCTCACCACTTTCACTTATCAACAGCCTGCCAGCTTTCTCCAGAGCCCACTACATAAGCAGGATTTCTTTCAGCAATCCACCTTTAGAAAGAGCTTTTTCTGAAGCTGCGTCAGGATGGAGTTCTTCAGGTGGAAAGCTTTAGTGAAAGCCCTGAGAAGCTCTGCTGATCTAGCTGGTCTTCAAGAATCAGCCTAGCTCATTCCCTGGGATGTCACTTACCTGAAAAGACTTTTGGGCCTCTGCTGAAACTCACGACATTTTGCACAATGGCATCAATAGCGGAATGTACCATTTTTATGCAACAAATGTCTACTGCAGAAAGAAAACACCAGTGAAAATGCTCGAGTTTTCTGGCAATGCTGGAGGTACCACACTCTCATTAGTGTACCAGTAGTTTAGAAACCAAAATCAGAGACGGTGGTGATTTTCAAAAAAATCTAAAAAATCCCCCTTACTAAGCATTGATAAAAGCTGCCTATACAGTACATATAAGCCATGATTTTTAGAATCAGAGTGCGGCCAAATCAATAATTTACTGATTAAAAATCACCTCTGTTATAAACAAGCATTATGTGCAGAAAACTTTGACTTCCTGTTATTAGAAACCCTGGCACTACCACTATTCCAAAAATACAATATTGTTTGATTGTTATTGGGAAATCTTTGGCCAGTTACTGCAAGTTTCTGCTACAATTGTCTCTCTTTTTCATATAGGGTAATTCAGCATAATTATTTGCTTGCGTGAATTCGTCAAGGGTCTGTAAAAATTATCAACCGCAACAAATGTGCATTAGTGGATCTTTGGAGTATCCTTCTGACATATATTGTGAGTGTCATCCACCACTTGAGAAGATATTAGTGATCTACCAATGCTCCTGATAAGAGTTCTCTATTACTATTTGAGTATGGATTATTTTTTAAATTAAAAAAAAAAAAATCCACTTCTGTTCAACTTCCACCTCTCCCCTTTCTTGGCCTCATTCTAAACTAAGCATTTTTAATATTGTCAAAAGGGGAAATTCCAAGTTAGACTGCATTAAATCTGGAAAGAAACCAACAAGCTATATGTCTGTAAGGCAACTCAACTAAACAAGAAAACCCTAACAAGCAATTCAGAGAATTACTACTGCGTACTTTAAAAAAAAAAAAAAAAAAAAAATCCATTTATCCATTTGAGCAGAAGAGTGAAAGGACAAAACATTTACTGCAGTTCCAGAGATCCTCTGGGAGAATCAGGAATGCTGTTACGCTAAACAGAACAGGGGAAAGTAACAAGCCCATATGGGGCAATAAGGACGTGTTTCCTTGTGGGTACAACCATGTTCTTTGCTGTTAATGAACACTTGGTAGACTAAGTTTAATAACTGAAAGATTCTCTTGTCCTGACACAACAGAGCAAAATCCTATGTTTAAACCCACAGATTTAGAGTGCAGATGCTGAGATAGCTGCAGTGGGCTAGCTAGCCAATGCCTTATCTCCCTCCAGTTTGTCTCTGGCATTTAGTGGACCTGAATTTAAGGCTGGTCCTGCTACTTTTGCCTCTGCAGACGTTCTTTCTTGTTGGTTCAAAAGAATAAAAAAACCTGAGGTTGTCATTGATTCTGCAGCTTCCCAGGGGTTTTAGGTCTGAAGTGAACTGTATAAACTAGCCAGTGCTTCTGGGAAGGTGCTGGCCCAGCATCTGCCCTTTTCAGGGTGGCAGCATCTGCCACCTCCATTCCTTCACCACTCAAACCCAGCCACAAGTGCAAGTGCTGTTGATCAAAAGGTCAGCAACATACAGGAGGGGATGGTCTACACTCAGCTGTGGGTGACAAGGTTAAAGATGCAGAAAGGAATGACTGTCAGCAGCCACTGTACATTAGCTGAAGAGCCAAACAGCTGTCCTCCTATAATCTCCATGCTCATACCAATAATGTACAAACAAGTATTAATCAGCTAACAACTTGGTCCTGCCTATTTACTAGCAAGCATACTACCTACTCAAGCCTATTGAGTTAGGACGAGAGTTGGTAGCATCTACATTGAGACTAACTAGGCAAACTAGCTCAGAAACACCACTTTTAAGTGAGTCACGGAAGAATTGCACTTACCTTGGGGGTAGTACAGGTTCTAGCTGAAGCACTCCACCCTGTTCTGAATGATCCAACTCCTACAAAGATTCAAAAGAAAAAAGCCATTTCTTTAAGCCTAACAAACAAAAATTATCTTGTTTAAATGATGCATTTCTTATATTAAATTATATCCTACAGACAAGAAAAACAAGATTTTCTGGAGGTCTGGGAATAAAGTAGTAAGTATTATGGTGTGTTAGCATTTTAAAGTCTTGTTGGACATAGAGGGAGATGTAAATAACCTGGTTGACTACCTGAATCACAGCTTAGATTGTGCATTAGGTATGACCCAGCCCTCTTTTCCTACTACATGGGAGTCAACGCTTAAGAGCCAAATTCAGGAAAGTCATACAAATGTACAATTGTAGGATTCCAACTGCCACAGTTACATTAACAATTTTGATCTAACTTTGACAGATGAAAGACTTTGAACAGGCTTGAAACAGAAAACATGGCGTTGATGCAACTCGCACAGGACAGTGTCTCTTGCAAATAGCATTAGCTCTCATTAAAGAAGGTATCTAAGTATGTTTCCCAGAGATCGAACAGATAAACCCTGGTGAATCTTGCTTTGGCAGATTAAGGCGTCACTTCTCCCAGCTGCCCATCCTGACCCTGCCAGAGATTACTGCCCGGCAGCAGAGTCAGCAGAGGGGAACATGTGCCACATCTGAAGGGTTTGGACCACAGGAATGGCTTAACAAGTTACCATCCTTTCTGCCTCCTGCTGTTCATTTTCATCCCAGTGCCAGAGAGTACTGCCAGCTCCGCTGAACAAGCACAGCTCCTTGTGGAACAGCGTGGTAAGTCAGAGTGATGAATCTGGGTTCAAAAGCATCCTTTCTGAACCAGTAATTTTAAATAGCTCTGAACAGTCTCATTTACTTAATTAGGGATACATGTGCTTGAAACTGATAAACAATTTCTGTGATTCTTCCCACCTAGAAAATACCTAGATGTATTTTGTGACAAAATTTTGACCCTTGATTAAGTCCCCAAATTAATGTTTAAATGATTAAATGATCCTGATCAGAAAGAAAACAACCTGCCACCTTCAGATGGGGATGTCATCCTCATACCAAAAACTTTCCTCTTCTGTGTGAAAAGGAAGAAATCTGTACTAACTGCTGCTTATGGTCAATTTTTATTGTTACTGGTTAATCACTTCCACTGACAAGCAATACTAGTTTTAGAAGCACAGAAATTCTTATTTTTCCAAAGATAAGATTTAAATGTTTCAGTGGATTTGATGCAGTCTTTTTCTTACAAAAATCCTCTGAAGCTTACACATACCTGTCACAATAACCTGGATGACACTGTAAAAGCTTTGGGGTTGCACTGTATAAAACGTTATTTAATGTATAGTATTGGAAATAATTTTTTCAGCATTATCCAGAGAAGAAGGGACCTCTATGAATAGCCTCTTCAGTCATGACATTTAAAAACCCCTTTATCCTATTAGCAGAGGTAGCCACAAAGACATTTGTTGGCAGCTGTCCATCTAGTGAGGGCTTTTGATTTGATTGATTTGATTTGATCTTTTTACTGCCTGTGGTTTCCACAAGATTCTCTGCCATTCCTGTCATCACAGCACTCAATATTTGGAAATTCTACTGTCATTTTCTAGTTTATTTTAATTCCCTTTTGTAAATCTGTGTCAAAGGGCATACGGGATACACAACTACAATGTCTACCGTTACTATGTGCTCAGGAGCAAGGAGCAGAGCCTTGCTTTCCCAAGTAGATGGTTCTACTCAGGCTCTGACAGGACCAGTAGAAAACAACTAGAAGGAAACAGCTGAAGAAAGAAAGCTTCATTCATCTACAGAAAAGTTCCCTCTGCCTGGAAATTAGCACAGACACCGAGAGGTACTGTGTGTATGAAGGTAAAAAAAATACATTTCTAAAGGACTTTGACAATATTTCACTATGTAAATCTCATTGGACTTTGAACCACTTTGCAGTGCTTTTGAAACTAACTTGTAGAATGTCCTGATTCCAGCTGCTAAACACAGAAAATTGAAGATAGATGTGATCAAAGTTTAGTAAAATCAGCAAAGTGCTTTTCAGAACTGACAGCAGTCTAAATTACCTAATTAAACTAGAGGATGCAATTAAAAGAAAAAAGTCTTATATTTTTGAGTAGTCCTTTTCATCCTTTGGTCCTTCAAATAACTTACTTTACCAGTGCTTCAGAGTCACAAGAGATCTGTTAACCAAAGCAAAGCTGCAATACAGGAAAACAGTTCTAACTTACCACTTTTTTTACTAGGTCACCACTGTTGGGTTTTCCAACTGTGATATCGGAGGTGTTCCCAATAGGCTTTTCAGCAGGAATGCGGGATTTCATTTAAGGCTGTGAAAAAACCAAAAGTTCCCATGTGAAAGTCTAATCAATAGCTTCTTGACATGGACCAACAATAGATAAGGGAATCCACCCTGGTTTGGGGCATTTTTTTTGTGAACGCAACTTCCTTCCTCAAAGCCAGAGCAGCCAATGGGCAGGACCACTTAAAGACTAGTGAAGAGAAAAGGAACGTGAAGGGAAGGTTGCAACTCTGAGGTTGACTTCAGGAGTACTTCCCATCCAGCATAATGGATCTTCACTTTACTCTCAGGACACAAGCAAGTTATTCTAGGGTTTCAGGGTTTCAGCTGCAATACTTGTTGATATAATATTAGATGAGTAGAAGAGCTTTTACCCCTGGGAATGTCAGACTCATTACTGGATACCCTGAAACACCATCACCATCTCTCAGCCACATTTCTAAACTGGCTCACTTTTTTCAGCTGTCAGCTCCTGGAATATCCTTCAGGCTGGAAAACAGCTGAGGGTTATTTCAAGTAACCCTGAAAGATCAAGCGACTTGGATGGAAGAATCTCCAGAAAGGTAAAGGCAAGAAAAGAAACTGTTGCCTACTACAAAATTCAGGGTGACAGAAAGAAAACAGAGATGGAAGCTCCCTGGTAGTCTTTAAGGAGCTAAGCAAATTTAGGACACGGAAGAGGAAACAATCCAGCTCTTACTAGGGAAGACTGATTATGTCCTCAGTCTCAATAAAGAACACAAAAACCTGCTAATTATATGATATTTGCTTTCAACACCTCCACCACTGAAACCTGGGAAACACTTGGACAGGTTTTGCCAGCATATCTGTCATTTTGTCTTTATATATTGGAACCTTGCCATCTATTTTACAGTGTATTTGTATACCAAGAAAATTAATTTCATATGAAGAACTTCAGACACTTAAGCTCTTCTGACTTCCAGCCAGTCTTGGAGTTATGTAAAAATATGTGTAGACAGCCTGGACATTTATAGACTGATGAAAAAAAAGAGGAGAGATTCTATCCAAATGAAAATTCAGTTGCTCATTTCATGAAAAGTACTCTCAACAAAGAAACAACACATAGGAAGGAGAAGTGTTGTTTGTTTTTAACACCTCAGTTGCATTACTATGATCTAAAACACTGGTGTGATGTTTAAAAATGGATCAGTTCAAGGATAAATCCCTTATTCTTAGGAGCAGGTCACAGCTACCATGTTGGCAGTGACCAAGCACAGGGGAAAAAAAGTTAGTGAAGTTCATCATTCTTCTAAGCTAGTATGATGGATGAAAAGTAAAAGCAACACCTGACAGTAACTGCAAGAGAAATCTTCAGTTATCATACCTTACTGATATATAAAAAGCATGAGGGATTTATTTATTCACACCACTTCAAATCTTGATATATACACAGATGGCCTAATTTCCTTGCCTTTACTCTTTATAAGACCAAAATCAAAGGAAATAAAGGAAGAAAAAAAAAACCCCAAGAATTAGAAGGCAGGTGTTATTTTCAGTGATTTCTAAGTGTAATAACTGAAGTGGAAGTTTAATGCTTCCTTTCTAATCACATCTCAACAAAAATGCTAATGCTAAATGAGTACTTTACTGGAGTTCAAATTCTTAAGCATGCAGCTCTGTCCCTTTTTTGGTCATGCTGAGTGGGTTTTTTTTTGGTTTATTGGGTTTTTTTTTTTTTGATTTGTGCTGGTTCCTGACAGAATTAATCTCCCTCCATACCCACAATGGTGAAAGACCCCTTGTACTGAGATTATGTGGCCCTCTTACAAGGTAAATCAGACTATATCCATGTTACACCTTGGCCCAGTTGTACTTTTCTCATTTTTTAACAGCTTACATTTCTGCAGCAGCTCCTATCTGCCAAAAGGCTACTCTGCTTTCTTGGAACCTGCTTCTGTTTCTCCACATGCCATTAATCTTCCAGCTACAGCCTTCCATAAAGCAGTCCTTCACACCCCTCTGACAATTGTAGCTAAGTACAGTATGACCGGCAGTCTCCTGTGGAAAGTCCAATTACCACTAGAGAGCAGCAGGGGACCAGCTATCTACAAGTTCAAAAGAGAATCCAGCTCAGGGAAAAAAAAAAAAAAAAAAAGAAAAAGAAAAAAAATTATCAGTTGGGTTTTTTTTAATGGAAATTACAGTTTCCTTTGTGGAGAAAAATTATGTTGGGTTCTTTACAGTAGTTCGTAAACATATTCATCCAAGTGAAAAAAATCTTTTACTTACGATCAGGTATTAACAGGAAGAATTTTCCTCATAGCTTTACCTTCAGTCTTCTCTGCATTTTTAATCATTTACACTGCATTTCTCACATATGCAGAGGAAAAGAAAACCTAGTATTTCAGCACTGGGGTGGTGGTGGGAGCAGGGAACTCAGGAAATAATGAGAGAAAGTCTTAGGAGAAAAGCCACCTGGACATCTAGTTGCTACAAGTTGACTCTACACCTACTCAGTGTAGTAGAACATAATTTTGATATATGAGTTTTAAGAGCTATCTTGTGACATTTCTCCCTAAGCTTTGAGGATATAACATAAGGCTAAAGAGAAGCAAGTATGTACTGCAGCATACAAAGATCGACACAAAGACCTTGTGGCGCTCTGATAAATTTCCACTCTGAGATACTGTCAGTGTCATTTGTAAAGCTGTAAAGGATTAGAGGTGGAAGGCATTAGGGATACAGTAACTGTCAGAAAACTATAGTCAAGACCTTGACACAAAATTGAACATATCAGGTTTTTGCATCCAAGTTCTCGCATGCCTTTTTTATTCCCTCAACTGCTACCAAAATCCTATTGCTTAAATGGCCACAGATTTCAAATCTAACAAGGGTCAAGGGAACTTTTTGATGTAAGCTGTGAAAATGATGCTTACTAAGCTGTGTTTGAAGCAAAGTTTAATACACTAAATGTTGTTCCTTTGACAAGTCGGGGCGCTGCTCCCAGGAAGCTCGGGAGCAGCGTTAAAATATCCTCACCTGATGTCAGAAGAGAAGTCAATTTGACCAAAGGTACAGCTCAGTGATACGGTTTAGCTGACGAAACAAGCTTGCTTCTGCTGAAAGGGTCTCCTCCAGCCCTTCCCTGCCTGTCTTTAGATCCAGCCCCCCTACCATTTCACCTCTGACATGCATTAGCTCCATAACGCTGGAGGGACATCAAACTTAGCGCAAGGGAGGGAGCCAGATGAGGTAGCTGGGAGGCAGGGAGAGGGGAACATGACTCCCAGCTATTTCTCCCTCCCACCACAGCCCTTAGGTTGACTCCTCTGTCTTGTCAGACTGTACCATGGGATTCCTTTAGCAGCTAATATACCTAGTAAACAGCAACTCAATTAGTAAATAGTAAGTCCCAGTTAAAATGATTTTCTGACAAAGATTTCTCAGGCAATCTGGGAGAAGAACTTACGTTTCCCGGGTTTAGCTGGGATTCGGATCACAGTAGGTTTCCGGGCTAAAGCCGGTTGAGATGTCTGTTCCTTTGCAGGTTCACTTTTGGTGAGGAACTGAAATGGATCTAAAAGGAAAAAAAAACCAACATATTTATTTGCTGAACACAAATCTCACTGGGTATTGCTCTCATTATTAGGGACATTTATGTTTCACACCCAAGAAAGTAATTTAAAAAAATATAAATCAGGCTGATGCAAATAGTGTACTCAGCTCTTTGTAAATAACATGTCTTTTCTGTACATTTACATTCATAGTTGACTTAACATAAACATGCTCCAGGTGCCTTCTGGGATTATATAAGCCACTGAACAAGAAGAACTGCATTGCTTGGTAATAGGGACGTGAAATCATGACAGCTTTAGCAAAACATTTTCAAAGCTGTTGCTCTAATATGCAGACATAGCTGTGAATATATTCACTAAAAAGTTTTAATCAATAAAACAACCAGCACTGCAGCAGATAAAATGCCTACAGAAACAAAACAAACCAAAGCATTTAAATATTACTGATTACAAAGTGTCTTTGCTGTAGAACAACTAATTCCCTGGAAGATTCTGCATCACTTTGTTGATTATAAACCTGGTGTCATGGCGGAGACTGGTTCAGACCAAGGACTGGGAGTCATGCCTGAGCTCTGCCCCTGTGTGTATCACTCATTCCTCTACAAGCCTGTCCAATCATTCCATTGGTAAGACAAGAGCAATGTTTTCTATGCTTCATAAACTTAAGCACTGGTCTCTTATTAATAGGCATGGGAACATATGTGCATGCAGAAGGCAGCTGTAAAAATACTTGCGCATAAATAAAATCCAAATCAATGGTTCTTTCTCAAGTACACCTTCATGTTGAAGAGCAATACTTCATTTATACCTCTTCTCTGTTGTTAACAACTGCTACGTTTTTTCTCTGACATTACCAAAACCTGCAGTAAAATGGCAATGCTTAACGGTATCATAAATGTGTAAAGTAGAAACTGGAGAAGCACTCTGGACAATAAATTCTCCATGACACATATTCACAGCCCCAACAACTGAGTTTGATCTCCTCTGGTGGCCTTTTTAGATGTGTAGCTCAATGAGATGTTATTTATGGAGTGTCAGAGTCTCAGAGAAGTAGTATGCTGGGCATCTCTTTAAATTCTTCAGGACTTTTTATAAAAACATACCCTTTCCCAAAACTACCACCACACTTTCTGACAAAGTTGGAAGCCCTGTATTTGATAAAATTTTATCTTCATCACTTATAGAAAATAATTTAAAAAAATATGTAATGTGAAGTCATGATTTCTTACAGATCACATTGGATAGTATAACACAATGCAGTTTACCAAGACACTAGAAATCTGTGCCTGGGAATATACAAAAGATTTAAGAAAATCCAGAAATACGGTATTTATTTATGAACAATCTCATTAAAAACCTTTTAGCATTTTAATTTAAAAAGGCTTGTCATTTTTAATGAGAGGGGAAGACGACCAAGTACATCAAACTCTGTATTTGGTTTTTTTTTAATCAAAAATAGGCCCAAAATAATTTCAGAGAGAGAAAACACCGTGTAATATTGAGTTGCTGAATTACGGTGTAATGGACTGCCCTCCCGCATGCACACAACTTGGCAGTCACAGCTCCCCCGGCCTCTGCTGCTGCTCCTCCTTGCCGGGTGCTTCTGCCTGCAGCCAGCAGCCCCCTCTGCCCATGCCCCCAGCTCTGCCCAGCTCCCGCTGCCAGCGCGCCAGCTGTAGCAACAGCTGGGACAACATGCCGCGGGGTCCTTGCATGCTCACCCCTGCTCAGATGTCTGCCTCCCACTAGCTCCTTGCTTAAGGCTCTCTTCGTAGGCCTATCCATCACGTACAGGTGTGCCATGGGGGTTTCTGCCATGGTCTCTCTCAAAGTCAAGACATCTACCTGCCTACAGGCTCCCCAGAAATCTGCCTGGGTACCTTCATGTCACATTTTAATCACGAATCAAAGCACATCAATTCCTTCTGTCAGGCTGCTTGTACGATGGCTTAGAGCGTATGCTTCTGGCAGAAAGGATCACAACAGGTCAACAGTTTGTCTACAGCTAAAGGTATACAGGCTACAGTTAAAAATAAGCTCTGTTACCATCTAGACAGAAGATGGTTTCCTTCACATTGTGCCCAAAGACACTGGGGCGTCCAGAAACTAGGCACAGGCAACCCACAATGTTTTAGAAGGTAAGGGTAACACTAACATCTTGTTTAAGTTATGGATTAGCACTAGTCAGTAAAAGGTTTAGGTCTCTTCAGTGAAAGCTGCATCGGAGCAAGGATTTTTCTAGAGAACTTGAAAACACAGACCACAAGAGGGGTTGCAAGCATTCTGGCAGTATGGTCATTACAAGAAACAAAAATCCCACTCTTAGAGCAAGCCTGCAGTTATAATTTTCTTTTATTACTTTATACCTATGTTTGCTAGCTACACTGCTAACATTTGAATTGCATTAAAAAAATAAGATTTATCTAATCTTAACTCTTATACTGGTGTTCAGAGTGACCTTAGTGCAGCTCAAAAAAGAAAAGAGAAAGTGGGCCGCCTTCTCTCTTTCAGTTATCTGGCAGCTCTACGACAGATTTGAGGAGTGACCCTGGCGAGGCAGCAGGGCAGCGGGGCCTCAAAGCTGCACTGACCCATTGGGAAGCTGGAGGCACAGGGTGAGCAGAGGAAAGGTGAGCAGGGCTAAGTCATGGGCTGCATGGCACAGCACGACTGTAGGGAACACGCCAGCACACGGAGCACCTCTCAAGGTAAGGTTCTGCAGAGGTTAAGGAAGTTCTGCATTAAAAATGAGGAAACAATTTTCCAAAGCCTCCATCTTATAAAACTGTAGACATCGTGAGAACAAGTGGAAATGCTCTAAACACCCAAAATAATCACAGATCTGCATTCTTGTAAATTTATGGGAGATTTAAAATTGTACAAAATTACTGATTGTCAGCTGTTAATCATTGCTATGCATAGAAATGGTTTTCTCGACCATTCAACAGTTGGCAAAGGTCTCCAAATTGATAAATCTGAGAAGTAATTTTCAAGTCTGAGAAAAGTAATTTCTAGGGCTGAGAAAACCATTCAATGAACCCTAGTTCTCCACTCATTATCTTATGTTCAATTATACTGTTGTCACCTCATAATTAGTTTAAAACTCATTACCTTGTTTGTGTTATTCCATTCCCCAGTGTTGGGTTTGCAGCAGAAATTGGCTGAGTAAATGACTGTGCTGCTTTGTGCAATGGGACTGACAACATATCAAATTTTTATGTTGTTTAACAACAATTGGGCATCGTTTGAGCATAATTCATGGAGGTGTGAAAACAGAATTCTTAATATACTCATTTAAAGCTTCTCAGCTCGAGGAAATTAATCTGTAAGGCGTTTTTCATAACACATATCAACAGACTCCTATCAATTTTTTTTTTATTAAACTTGTACAATAATGCTTAAAGCCTGTGTCTTCCTTAGTCTCACTTTTCTACAGCTTCTGTTTCAAAGGTTTATGTGACAACATATATTACTGTGCTTGTTCACAGGAAAGACATATGAAAGCTGTATATTCAAATACTCCATATATCATCTCTTTCTTTTACCACTTTAGGAGAAAGAGCTTTTTTCCCTCCACTCTCATTTACCATCCTTTTTTAAAATAAAAAATTAGGAGGTTACAGAACAAACACTAGGTTTGGCCCATGTGAGCAGGACAGATGGATATCTTTCTGAAATATTTATTGGTAGTCTTTAAGTAAGTCATAGTAAGATGGTAATAGATACAATAGATAGCAACAAGGGGAATCTCCAGACAAATTACATGTGGAGAGCTAAAAGCACAGAATAGTAATATCTGCTGTTAAGATGCTCAGTCCTGCAAGAAGTACTCTCAGTACATATGAGAACAACGTAGTATGAAAGGTGTTCATGCTGACATTACAACACTTGCCACTAGAGATGTATGCAACTGTGTCTACTTTCAATGTTTAATTCAAAAAACTACATCAGGTGTTAAAGGCAAGGCTCACACATTCTCTTCACACAGAACAGTATTGTTATCGGGGTCTTCCAGGAACAGAGGATAGAGCCAAACCTCATCAACAAATGGTTTTATTAAAACCTAGCCCCATGACACTCTGGTGTTTGTGGAAGCATTCCCCCCATACTTGGGGAAAGATTTTCAATAACAGACCCCTCTTAGTAATACAGCTGGAGACTCAGTGGAAACCTGACAGATAACATCCCAAAGAGGAATGGGGTCCATGCTCAAGAAATACTGTGAAATGCTACAACCAAAAACCGGATGTGCACTCAGATGTTCTAACTCTCAACCTATTTACAACTATAAGCAGACATATTAGACAGGTATTCTACCTAAATTCCAGCATCGGTGATTTTCCCAATCTCAGTTTTCCCCAATATTTTTCATCACCGAAATTAACAGTTCATTGTTCTTAGAAATGGTATTTCTGATCCAGAGAGAATAACATGGACTACACCACCTTTCTCAAAATACGCAATTTGCAGCTTCCTCTGCATGGAAAATTCCCATGATCTGGTCATGACCTATCTTTTAATAGACTGGGAAATTAAAAAAGGAAAAAGGAAAAAAAGAAAAAAGAGAGAGAATGGGATCCAGGCTCTTTCAGGATGTAATCTGTGTATCACCTGAAAGTAAGCTCAGGTGAAACTCAAGTCTTCTCAGCATTCTCCTAACACTGGGGAAGTAGACCAGGTCATTCAAATAAAAGGAATACAGTATTCAGGAGTAGACTTAGTATGGCTTCAGACTTAAAATTGGAGCAGACACAAGCAAATCTGCTATCGTAACGCTCTAGGATTTCTTCCTCCCCAGTCTACACAGAGTTTTTTCATGACCAGCCCAGTTATTTTGGTAGAGGCTATGAACAGACTGTGTGATCCTGCTTCATTCAAAGATTTATAGTTCATCAGGCCAAGGAGATTTGCTTTATCCGATATGGCACATTTAGTCAGACAAGTACTTGAGCGGGCTGGTAAAAATCTCTTATATGTAACAACCTTTACATATAAGTAGCTT